GCGGGGGGGGGGGGGGCTAAACAGTCCCTTGAGGCCCCTGTGAGCTGAGAAAATACTAGTTATAAGCATTATCGTTTTCAGCATTTTCCTTTTCTATTGCAGCTGAAGGCTGTGGTGCCAGCAGTAGAATGCTAGTTAGTTTTCTAGGGTGTATTGAAGAGATAAGATTATATTCCCGCTAATTTGCGTTGTTTGCACAACTTTGTTTAACATTATCGAGTGAAATTACATATGCAGCACAGTTCCAGAGGTCAGAAGACCTCTGTCAGAAGCTTTGAAATGCGTGTTTGGACTCTGATCGGTTTGTACTTTCCAGGTTGTCCTTGTAGCTCTGGATGTTAATGTGAAACAGCATTAAATCCTCATCAAGCAGTGCATTGCTTTCAGCTGGGAGGACAGAGCTGCAGGTTAATCTCTCTTTTTGTGTTCTTACGATTAACAGCTGAGCAGTTGTGATATGTAGAATTCAGCACTGCAGACTCTTAAGGAAACAAAGACCTTTGGTGGTCTTCTGTTAGTGAGGTGCAGCCCAACAAGTGTGAAGATGTGTATGTTGATCTTGACAGTGTGTTCAGAATTGAACACAGCAGTTGCTTATGTGCACAGAAAGTTCTGGTGGGCTTTTTTTGTATGTCAATTAAAGAGGCAAAGCTTTTGTCACCAGTGTTCATAAGGCATAATTTACATTAAACTTTTTTGCAATTCAGCTCTGTCATTATTAATATCACAGTCATTAAAAACTAGATTGTCGAAGTCTGGATATCTGAATTACATATCTTCTGGGGTAAAACTTGCATCAGTGGATGCTGACTCTCTTTTCTGTTGTTTTTGGGCAGCTTTTTGCCACTTCTCTCGAGAAAGCAGATTTTTGAGGTGACAGAAAATACTCTTGGTTTCAGAAGTTGGGAAGAGCAAGAGAAAGGCCCTTGATAGCTTATCAGATGCATGTGTGCAGGCGTAACACCTCGTGAAAGAATTCAGTATGCAGGCTTGAACTCTGCTGAAGAGCTGGTGCTTGTCTACCTTAATGCTAGTGCTATGTCTTAGTGAAAATCAAATAGGTTTTCTTCTTTCATAAATTGTAGCGTAGGAATCCTTTTGCTGTAGAAGTGGCTGCAATTTAGAATCAGTCATTGAGTGTATAGTAAGTAGATTTTTACTTTAAAGAAGCAGTTCTGTTGGATGACATACAGAATATCATCATGCTGTCAGCCTTGGCTGGCATCATTTTGTGTCAGTTTTCTTACTGTTGGCTCAAATTAATTGTGGGAAATTACCTAGCACACCCAGGTAGTTGACTAGGTCCCTCTGGATAAAATAAGGACTGAGATGGAGAGCTCCCAGTTCAAAAACTTGTACTCCTGTCTTCCCACATCAGGCCAGCAGTAATATCTGAATAACAACTGTGACCATTATAGTTCAGGAACTGCAGGGTGCTTTTGAATTTTTGACTGAAGGGTGCTGAACAATTGTTTTCTGTTAGCTGAGAGTGTACAGGTGGTGCACTTGTAATTACCCCTGTATAGGTTAGAGCACTTAATCACTGACAGTTTGATTATATGGCTTTTAGGAATGACCTCAGGGCATGTGAGTCAGCTGAGGATACCTCCTGGGACAGTACAGGTGCTGGACTCAGTACAGAATGAAAGGTGCCAAAATTGAGGGGCGGTGGGGAGGAGGAGCAGCTCACATGACTGTGACTATGTGAAATCAAAGTCTGTTCTGATAAAAGTCATTGTAATTGCAGTCAAGTCTTTATTTCATCCCAGTGGTTCAAGCATTGTGCAGGGAGTGAAAACGATGATTATTGATACACACAGATGATTTTGAGCTTGGATTTCTTACCTTTGGCCTGCTGCTCTTCTCCCTGCCATGCTTCTGAATATACTTTCATTTCATAAGCTTAGTAGTCAGGCAGCACAGAATTAGTTTGATAAATGGGCTCCAGTGCTGTGAAAGGTTGTGAAATTTTGCCACTCCAGAGGAGTTCTGGCTTGTTGGCTGGGCTGTAGGCCTGGCAAGTGGAACTTTGGCTTCTTCTCTTGAAGCCATTTAGCATGGGCAAATACTGCAGACTTAAATTTGCAAAAGGATTCCCTAATTTTGGGTGCAGCCCTTCAGTATTTACCTAGAGGGTCTTCAGCCAGAACTGTGTACAAAATTCTACACTTTTTGTTTATACCCATTGTCTATTTTGCCACCTTCTTTTATATTTAATAACCACATGGGGCTGCTTGCATCAAACCGTTTAATCTCAAAACAGCCTTGGGGGTTGTATTTGAAGTCTGTTCATGAAAGCATTGTTATGCTTCGAGGAGCTATTCAAGAGGTGACTACAGTAGCAAGTGGTTACCCTTGAAGCATGAGTATTTTCTAAAAAATTGTGGTCTGTCTGCTCATGATTCACCTGTCCATTTACTTATGCTTCTCCCATTTTTTTCTCCTGTAACTTTCCATGCAGAAGTCAGATTGAAACATCCAGTGGCCATACACTGTTACTTCTTCTCTAACAGCAGCTCTTGTTACAGCCAGCTGGGCAGGAGGGCCAGGAGTGAGAGGAAGAGTAGCCAATGCTGAGAGCAGACAGGAGACAGTGCAATATCTAGTATCATTCTGCTGCCATGAGCAAGCCACAAACCTTATAGTGGGGGGTCCTGTACAATGGTCTGGTCACAAACCAGGTCCCTTCACCCAGAGGCCTGATTCTCCAAGGGCAAGATACTCACGAAGTGAGAAGGCTCATCAGTGTTACGGTTGGATGAGGCCATGCGTGGGCTTCTGTGGTCTTTTGATAGAAGTGTGCCTAGAAGAGGCTGGAAAAACCACAGCAGGTGCTGGGGAGGTTAATGACCTTAAGGTGCCTGAGGGTACTCGATGAGTCTGATGCCTAACTGATGTCTTGGGTATTACTAGTGGCTGGTAGAAAGCTACCATAAATAGAGATAAGGGTTACTGGCAGCAGAAGTCCAATGAGTTCATGTTGTCATCCTCAATTTGAGGATGTTGGGACTGCTGAGACAGCTTTGTGCTTCAAGGACTCGAGAGGTGAGGTTGCAGAGCTTCCTCACAGCCGTGTTAATGTGTAATTGAAAAGAAAAGGAAATAGAAGTCTCCAAGTAGCTCTCATCGTTGTTCTGTTGGGGATGGTCATACCTACAGTCTTCCCCTGTTTGTCCTATCTGCATTCTGTCCTGAACTAAGCAAATTTGTGACTGGGTGGCGTGGAGGAGTATCTATTGCTGATGTCCACACCCTGCTTGCAACTGAACAGTATGTTCAAGATACGGAGAGGGTTCTGGCTGATATACAACCCTCGTATTTGAAGACCTGTGCCATAAGATGAATGAATCTGGCAGCTGTGATCTGTCATGGTTTTCTTGGGAGTAAGGGGTCCTGTATTATTCCAGTTTCTGAAAGGCATTAGGTTTAAGGGTGTTTAGGGAGAAAGCTAGAAAATCTGTGAGGGAATTTAAATCTGTGGATCAGAAATTGATCTTTGAAGTAGAATCTCTTTGAATCTAGATTCAAAAATTAAGGTTTAGATAAGGATCTTAACTCTGTGTGGTTGTTTTTTTTTTTTTAAAGAAGCATTATATAAATGGTGAGCAGTAGTTAATTCCAGTAGCCTAGCTTCAAAGGACTTTAATGAAAATCATGGCTGAAATTCTCTCCAAAGTTGTATGGGAGATACAGCAGGTTAATTACCATGTTGTGAGTATGCTGCAGACTTGTCTGACCAAACAGTCTTTTGGCTTGAATCCGACTGTTCTAACTATTCTCTTTTCACCATGTATTCATTCAACTTGATCTGCATTACAGGTTCCTTGTAGTCTTCATGTTATGTGTGGATATATTACTTTTCTAGCTAGTGAAGGAAAAGGTAGAGAATGGGAACGTTTTCCTGCTATATGTCCTTGACTTCTGTAACTGTCATTTAACTTGGTTATCTACCTTAACTCAAATGTTGAGTAATGTAATACAAAAAAATTTACAAGCAGTGGATTGCTGTCTGTGGAACACTTGCGCTATTTTTATTTCCTTGCTTTGCATGAGATGGGGCAAATGTGAGAGGGACTCCAGAGCTATTGATAACAAAGTTAATGATTACCTCCCTCTGGGGAAGTCTCTGCGGCCCCAGAGAGTGACACCTGGGTGAACTCCCCTGGAAGGTGTCAGGGCGCTCGCCCGTGGGTTACAGTCTCTCCTGGATGGGCAGTATCAGCCACTGGGAATCAGATGGGATTCTGGGTTAAGTGAACCTTTGGCCTGACCCAGCAAAGTCATTTTTACTTTCTTCTTTGCTGGAAATCCATTTCTGTGCTCTAACTGTCACATATCTCAGGCAGTAACTGGGGGCTTGAGTGTAGGGGGGAGGGTTTTTGAGTGCTTTTTTACACACGTTGGAAGAGAAACAGGGAAGAAGGTTTGGAAAAAGTAGCCTGAAATGTCACTTACTTTTCTGACTAACTACTGAATCAGTCAGGTTTCCCTTCTTGCATCTCTCACGCTGGTCCTAAATCACATTCTTAGATTGCGGATCATTCTCACTCTTGTTCTGCTGTCACTTAAAAATGGCGATACTCATTCACATTTTCTGATTTTTATTGTTTCTCTATCCCTTTCTTTCTCATTATTGCTGAGCATCGTGCTTGTACTTGTCTTTCCCTTGCTGTGGTTCTTCCAGTCTCTCTTGGTAGTGGTGAACATGCAGTAAAGCTTCCATTATTACTCGTTTTATAGTTTTCCATCTTTTTTAAGTTGGTTACATAATTTCTTGCTCTTTTTTATTACATATGGAAATTAGTAAAATGTGCCTTGGCACTGGGGAATAAACAATACATATACCAAAAGTAATTTGTCAACAACTTTAGATTTTGGTATGGTGATGTGTCATACCATAAACCATACACAATAGTTAACTTCTTGTTTACTTTACACCTTACACCTACAGAAACCTACTCAATTTTTCTCTTGAGAAAGCGTGACATCTTAAAAAAAAATCCAAAATTGAAACAAAACTGTTTATCAATTTCATAGGAGTATTGGTTACATAAAAGGTTAGAGCCGCCTTCTTAGAAGGACTTAGTTAAGTTTTTGCTGTTGTAACAGGGGTATTGTGATGTAAATATTGCCAGTATGTCATTATGACAGTGGAAATACATATGTGCTGCTGGGGGTGAGAATAGGGTAGAGATGAGGAGCTAGTAATTCGGAATTTAGAAAACTGAGTCTGTATCTGGAATAGTCAAAAAAGAAAAATAGCAAGAAAATTCAGCCTTCACAGCCTTTCTGAGGAACCTAAAAGTGAAAGAAGCTGTTTTGCTAAAATATGAACATACATTGACCTGTATCCAATCTTGAAAGCCAATAAAATGCTCTTGAATGTCAACAACTACTTTATTTTGTCAAAATAAACCTGTTTGACAATTTTTTCCAAATGGAATCTGAACAGGAAGAACCAAAATGCAGAATTCAATGTATGTTGAGTATCTTTGGTCGGTGGCATAATGTGGATAAGTAAGAATATACTGGTAGTGGCCTATCTCACAAATTAAGAAAATACTTCAAGTAGAACTTTTATGACTATACCCTTACAGCTTGGCGTATGTTTTCATATTCAGTTACTATGTAGAAGGTGTTGACAGAAAATGAAATTTTCATTTTATACACAGCCAACAAATCTTAATAGTGGCCTGATTTTTAGTAACGAGACCTCAGCAAAATATGTATGTCACCAGGGGGAAAAACATTCATCAGTTTGGAAAAATCCCTAAACCTGTTCATCAGCCACCTGTCTTAAATTGCTCCTCCTTTTCCAAGAGAGAATTTTATTGCTTTCTGAAGCCCCTCTAATTGAAAATGACACTCAATTAGGAAGGAGAGAAGTGATATTCCCAACTAGACAACGGTGCATGAATATCAAATGCACACTTGTTCATAATCCATCAAATTAAATATTCAGTTAATACAGAATAATTAACCTGAGAAATTAATATTCTCATGGAAACTTCATGAGCAAGAAATCTAGACTAGTAATTTTTTAGAACAGTCAAATTTCAGATGGAATTCAGCAAGCAATTTTTTTAACCTTTGCTGAGCATCTTTGACTAAAACCGTTGTTTGTTATGGCTCTTGACTTTTATTGCAGCAATGGCTGTACGGTCTGTCCTGTATATATGCAATGTGCTTATTGTTTGGAAATAAGAGTAAAACCGTAATAGCTAATATAAATACCTTCCTGTCCTCTTCCAGATGTCACGTGTATTGAACCTGCAGAAAGATAACCTGCAAAAATTATTGGGAGGTGCTTTTCTCTGTCTGTGTCCCCAGTGACTTGCGTTCTCTGTCTTCTTCGGCATAACAAAAGAAGAGGCTGTCTGTGTAAAAGTATCTGAAAGACAAGGACTCTCAGAATTGATTGGGGCAGGTTATTATCTTGGTTGATCAGTCACCACATCTGTACTTGAGTGTTTTTATCAATTGTTTTTATCCTAGGTCTTTTGATTTGCACTGGTAGTAACAAAAAAGGAATGATTTAGCCAGTTGAAATAGAAATTGCTTCCCTTCTGGACTGTGTAGATTTGTATGAGGGTAGTTTTTAGATTTCCATTTAAAAAAAAAAA